CCAAATTTCATTCTGCATTTCGTTTAGTTCCCCATGAAATAATAAGTGTCTGCTGCCTCTGGAGACAGGAGAGGATCAAAGCGAAGCTTCCTCATATGTAACAGACTCCGAATACCTAATATTCCCTTATAAAAGGCCTTGTTTGAAACACCAAATACAGAAGCAGATCAAAGCTCAGCTTCTCGTTTCTCTAAGAGCCCTCAGAAGACTTCACCAGCCGGCACGGCACAGACATGCGCGCACACACGCACGCTGACACCAATCCAAGGCACATAATTGGACTCTGCTAATCTGTCTAAACCATCACTGCATGCTATGGAAACAGCCAGGTGTCTTGTTCATGGAGACCTCAGTCGAGGAGCATCCCAAAACCACGTCCTCCCTTCCCTGGGGTGGCAGGGAGCTCTCCTGGGATGGCAACAGGTTGCTGAGATAGGCAGGTACCACCCGCACAAAAGCTACACACGAAATCAGGGGGGGATATTCCCCGCTCCTCTTTTAACGGGCTGCAATAGAGGCGATGCCAGGGGGTGAAGCGATCCCAGGCTGGAGCACGGAGGAGCGGGCTCAGGGTGGTCTGGTTCAGGCTGAGGCAGATGCCAGAGCCTGCTGAAGAGCAGCAGCCAGCTGAGGACACTTGATGAGAGCTCCCAGCTGCATCACTGTGCCGGGCACCTCCAGTACACCTCGACCACCATGGAACCAACAGCATCACTTTGCGCTCACACCCAGCGCTCCGCTTTGTATCCAGATTTCCAGCATCTCTGTACCCGACCTCTCTGTCTGATGGGGAGAGTGAGATCAGCCCAAGACCCAGTCCCAAGGGCTCGCCAGCAGCCATGCAACTCCCAGCAGGTCCCAGGGGCTCACACGCAGGACCCCTGGCAGGTCCCAGGGGCTCAGACATGGGATCCCCAACAGGTCCCAGGGGCTCAGACATGAGATCCCCAACAGGTCCCAGGGGCTCAGACACGGGATCCCCGGCAGGTTCCAGGGGCTCAGACAACGGCCAGGCTGCAGGAGGGGCCAGAGGCTCCCTGGGTCTCCAAGACAAATGAGGTCAGGATGCTCAGCCCCTCGCAGGGTCTCCGTACAATGCCATCACTTTCCCTGCCTCAGTTTCCCCTAGCCCAGGAAGCTGCACAGCATCTGCCCTGCAGACCCGCCACAATGCTGATTTACTCTTTATTTATCTTAGAAACCTTCTCCTAGAAGGGGCTTTAAAAGAGCAAGGATGTTTCCGTGTCACAGAGCAGCTGCTCCGGGGCCAACAAAGCAGACAGAGGTGGGGGGGGGTCACCCCCCCCCCGGCAAGCCGGAGGGGCTCATTAGACTCCCCAAGTCCTTGCCAAAGAGGCCAGCACAGAGCAGAGGGGCCAGCCCACTGCTGCCTGGAGCCTAGTACGGCCTTGGAGTTACGATGCTGCTTCTTTTCCCACCTCCCATCTTTCCCTCCCTTTGCTGCTGCGAGCAGCCCGGGGCTGCACAACCAGACCTGGAGCTGAATATATTTTGCTGGGCAGGAGACAATCGCTGCCCCGGAGCAAGAGGGATGGAGCGGGAGCGATGCACCGTGCAAGGTGAGGTTTGTGCATGGGGCTCTGCCTCCCTGTTTCAGGGATTTTTGCTTCTAGGATTTTCCTCTCGAACTCAGAGGGGACCTGGCTGAACACAGCCCACGCTGCTCAGGAGAAGAGAGGAATTGAGCAAGTATCAAAGCTTGATATGGCCCATGATGGGCAGCTGGGGATGCGTATTAGCATCTCCACAAGGCTGGCAGGTTCTCTCTCGTGGAGATGTCAGTGCTGGTGAAAGGTGAGAGCCCTCCACGTACCGCAGTCAGCAGGCGAGGAGGGTCCCACGGTTCTTAGTTCTCCCAGGGGAATGAGGAAGAGGAGAGTCAGCCCCTCAGCAAGCAGAGCCCTGGCGTGAACAAACCTTGCAAGAAAATCTCACTTCTGGAGAATCTCATGGAGTCAGTAACGAGGGTCAGCAGGA